TTCAGTAGGTCAGTGAGGTTCTGTAGGTCAGTGAGGTTCTGTAGGTCAGTGAGGCTCTGTAGGTCAGTGAGGTTCTGTAGGGCTATCCCAGCAGTTTTTCTGGACATCCTGACGATCCCTGAGAGTTTATTGCTTTCTACGATATGCAGAAAATGATTAAAAAACAACAACAAAGTGTATTAGCACAAGACATGCATACAAAGAATACACTCTCCTACTGCTTCCTGTCACCATTACCAGTGCCATCTCCCATCAGGATGGGAGATGAGGAACAGGTGAAGGATGGCACACCTGAACACAGAGAAACTAATGTCTCGGAGACAAACCCATCACATCAAACTACCAGTAACACCAAGACGGGACTAAATCTAACGATAAGCTCAGAGTAACAGGTCCTGGCAGTTTCATTGTCCACTCGTGTTTGTGTGGATGCATTAAATGCTCGTGATGTCTCGACAGACAGAAGTATTTCCACATTGTCAACAGTTTCCCAGCGTGCCTCTAAATGTAGCCAACTGAGCAGTAGCTGTAGAGTTGGTGTGGAGCCGTGCACGTGTCCACCGTCAGTTCGTTACTGATGCATGGAGAGGTCCAGTAGAACACACCTGTCCCTGGTCCGTGATTGTATTTTAGAGCTTCCTTGTGTAATGGTGCATGGTTTTCTGTTAAAAATAGCACTTCTATTGTTCAGCTTCTGTTTTCCACTCATTTAGCTCTTTTTTTTTTTTTGCCTCGCCTGAAGGTGTTGCACATTCTTGTCACGGAAGTCTTCTGTGTTTTCTCAGGCTCTTACCTCTCTGATGGGAGTGCAGTGGACCCTGAGTATTACTTCTCCACCATCAGCTCCAGCTTCTCTGTTTCTCCTCTTTTCACTGGGAGCAGCTCGGGGGAGTTCCAGGTCCCTCTGGACATGCTCAGACAGCTCCTCCACATGGTCAGTACGATCCAGCTCCTGGTCTCACTGGGCAGCTGTGGTGGACATGAAACATTTTGCTCTGTTTGTTTTGAGCAGGTTGAGCAGTTTGTCTCAGAGTCTTTTTTGAAGTCATTGGACAGCACCTTGGGAGAACTTCTAGAGGTATTTTGGCTGTTACACAGAAACATTTTGTCCTTTTGACTCTGCTGCTTCATTGTTGAAGTACTGCTGCTTTCTTGCAGGTGAACCCTGGTCTTCAGTTCTACTACAAAACCTTCAGCGATCCTTTGTATGTAGCCATATTTAAAATGCTGAGAGACACCTTGTACAACCTGAAAGGTGAGGAAACCTTCCTTGAACAGGGCTCCAAGCCTCTGACTGCAAGCTTCAGTGTCCACCTACAGGGGGCTCGGTGAGGGCTGTGTATTCGGTCCTCTAACTTCTAATCCATACGTTATAAAGTTTAATGGCCCGTGTCTGCGCAGTCCCTGGACTCAACTGAATCACATGTCAAAGATCACCCCCTGCAATTTTTTTGTTGCATCACAAAATTTGCAAAACCAACTTTTGACAGCTCTTTAAAGCTTTTAAGTTTGATCACTATAAAACTCACCATTTTAAATCTAGAACCTTGTAGACCCTTACCATCAAGGACACGTAATTATTTTAAAAATGTGTTAGGTACGCCTACAAAAATGGTTTTGGCAAGCTAGCCAAATGCACATTCAGCCTTGTAAAGTATTAAACTTGGTGACTGTTGGTGAATTTTACATTCTTAGGCCTGAACAAGCAAACTAGACATTTTCACCAACACCGGCCTCCTTTTACCTTAGAGACTAAAGGCATCCGGGACTTTACTGCACTTTTTTAATAACTCACACACACAATGGCACCGATACCTGCTGAGGGCATCAAATAGACTTTATGTATCACTCCTTATCGAGCTACTAGTTTGGGGTACACCATGTTGATGGGTTGCTGGGGGGACACCATGAGCCGGGGTAGACATGCATCAGGTGGCTTGGACCTTGATGAAAACTGCTCACAGTTCTTGTGTTCTTGCAACGATCCCAACACTAAATGATGACCGACATGTTTCTGACGCTCCAGACCTTCAGATGCACTATGTGAAGGAAGTTCATGACTTTGTTCTGGAGCAGTTCAGCAGCAGCCAATCAGAGCTGCAGAGGATTCTTCATGATGTGGAGTATCTTCAGAGCGAGCTGAGCCCGCTGAAGCTGCGCTGCCAGGCCAACGCTGCCTGCGTGGACCTCATGGTGTGGGCTGTGACTGAGGAACAGGGTGAGACCTGGATCTCTTCGTCCACTCCAACCTTGACTGGAACATCTGTCTGAAGTATTCACCGTTTGTTTTTCCACCAGGAGCTGAGAATCTTTGCACCAAACTGTCAGAGAAGCTGCAGTCGAAGACCTCCAGTAAAGTTATCATCGCCCACATGCCCCTCCTCATATGCTGCCTACAGGTACCCGTTACCGCTCAGTGCTAATTGTTCACGTCTCTAGCATCTGTCCTTTGACTGCACCAGGAAAAGACTAAATCAGCCTCCAGTTTGGGGTCACATGACTCATAAATCCTGGCTAAAATTTAAGCTGCTCCCACTCTTGCAGCACACTTTTAAATACCGGTATATAAGTAGAAAGTTCCTGAAGAAACTTTGATGGGAACTACCACATCGCGGCCATTTTTAAATGTTGATTTGACAGTACCGTATTTTCCGGCTTATAAGTCGCACCTTTTTGCCTAATTTGCATACCCTGCAACTTATTTATGTTTTTTATATTTATAACTCAATGTTTGGCTGAGATCTGACGATTTCATTCATTCTGACACGTAAAATATTGAACACTACCATTTTCAGCCACTCTCCTTCAGCCCTGCCATGACACCATTGATGTTCAGAGTTCTCCTGATGGTGGACTCATGAACATCAGTCAATGTGACAGAGACCTTCAGCTGTTAGAAGTTACCCTGGACTCCTTTGTGACCTCGCCCACTATTCCACGCCTTGCTCTTGGAGAGATCTTTGTTGGTCCACCACTCCTGGGGAGGGAACAATGCTCTTGAACTTCCTCCATTTGTACACAATCTGTCTGACTGTGGATTGGTGGAGTCCAAACTCTTCACAGATGTTCTGTAACCTTTTCCAGCCTGATGAGCATCAACAACTCTGAGCTCCTCAGAGATCTCCTTTGTTCTGTAGCTTTGGTTGGCAGCTGCAGGAGCTGTTGAAGGTCCAGCACGGTGTGTTGTCTGAATGAATGAGTTGCAGCTGTAGTTGTTACGACATATCTCCAGAACTTTTCTGTGCGTTTGGATGATTTTTTCCAGGGTTTGGGTCGTCTGTGTGAGCGCTTCCCTGTGGTCGCCCATTCTGTCACGACGTCCCTCAGAGATTTCTTGGTGGTGCCCTCTCCTGTCCTGGTGAAGCTGTACAAATACCACAGCCAGTACACAGTACCAGGTAACAGCACAAACAGCAGCCAAGTTATTTGTCACCAAACACACAGCCAGGCGGTGTCCCCCCTCCCGTTCTAAAATCGTCTCGTTTGTTTTGAAAAGGAGGCGGTGAAATTAAAATCCATGTGACCAACGAGCACTTTCAGTCCACTCTCAGCACCAACTCCAGCAGGAAGAGCCAGCCCTCCATGTATGAGCAGCTGCGGGACATCTCCATTGACAACATCTGCAGGTCAGTTCATGCTCAGTGGATGAAACGCACCTGCAGGCGGGCGTCTCCTGCTCTTCTTTCATCACTGCGAGACGCCTCTCGGTGCAGCGAGCTGACAACACTCACACACCTTCCTGCTGCCCCGTTGGTCTTCTTCAAAATAAACGTTGACTTCCTGTTTACCGATGTTGATATGTTCAATGTTAGTGACGTCAGCAGGGCGGACATGTTCTGAGAGGTTCTCCTTTCTGTTCCCTTCTCGAGTTTCTGAATCGAACCGTCTGATGGTAAACGTTAATGTCGGGGCGGATATGGAGCAGTGGCAGCCAAGTTGGGACCAGAAAGTCGCAGGTTCAACTCCCCGCTTTCCCACATGTGGTGTCCTTGAGCACGACACCTTTTCCATCACTGCTTCACCTGGGCGACTCTCATGTGTGACTGGTTAAATGCAGAGCACACGTGTCGTCATCGCCCGGGACATACAATGACGACAACACATCGCACTTTCACTCGAACCTAATGGGGTTAAAGTGGGGGCGGGGCGGGGCGTTCAGCGGAGTTTGTGACACGATCCTCACAGGAAACAGGCTGAACTCTTTCAAAATGCACAAGAGGCAACAAATGTCTTTACAGCAAGACATGTAGGAGGTGCCTGTAAAGCCTTAAAGCAGAGTGATGTACGTGCACTGTTGTCTGGCTGATTATTAACGCTCGTTAAACTTTAACTAAGTTTGAGCTCTTTTCATTGATCAGAGCTGAAAGCAATCAGATGAAACAGAAATAAATTAGTTGTTAAGAAACCCACTATCTAAACCTGGTTCAGACGTCTGGTAAGGACACACCCTAAAACCCTGGACACGGTTCTAGAGAAGGCTTCCTGGCATGTCCAACTGGGATGGGAGCTCTGGGAAGATCCAGGACACCCTGGAGACTTTTTTCTTCTGGTCCGGGAACCTTGGAGTCCTCCCAGAAGAGCTGGAGGAGGTGGCTGTGGAGAGATGTCTAGACCTCCCTGCTCAGTTTGCTGTCCCCGAGACCCGAGTCCAGAACAAGAAACAAGAGGAGGGTCGGTCGGTCCTGCCTGCCTGCCCATGAGAAGCCCAAGGATAGGAGTTCTTACAATTAAGCGTTATATGTTTTCTTCGATAGTTTACCAGCTGTTACCATACATCCTCACACACAAGTCAGCACAACAAAGCTTGAATCCTTTCTCAGCATCCACGCCCGCTACCTTTCCTCCTGGTCTTTTTACCTGTAGGTGCCTAAAAGCTGGCCTCACCATGGACAGTGTCATTGTGGAAGCGTTCCTCGCCAGCCTGTCAAATCGTCTCTACATCTATCAAGAAAATGACAAGTAAGTCGGAAACAACTGAACTGCCTTTTCTGACAAAATGTTGAATGGCATTAACGAGGTTGAAACTGAGTTGTTTCAACAAGGAAAACAGAAGTTACTAAAGAAAAAGACTAGAAAGTTCCTGGAGAAACTTTGATGGGACTGGAGCTGCCACATTGCGGCCATTTAAAATTTTTGATTTGACAGTACTACAGTTTGTGTTGGGGTTCACTCTCAGCTGTAACCACACCAATTCTCAGCTCTGTCTATAAAAATAACTGAGTTAAAGCCATTTAAATGTAGCTTTGGTGGCCATCTTGGATTTTATACTTGAATTCAGTATTTATTGGGCATTGTTCTCATCTACCACTACACCAAATTTCAGTTTAATGGCTCTAAAAATGGCTGATTTATAAATATTTTTTTCTTTTTAGCTCAGGCAGCCATCTTGAATTTTTGATTTGCAATCAGAGTCTATTAAAGATTGTTCTCAGCTACCAATGCACCAAGTTTCAGCCGAATAGCTCTAAAAACCTCAGAGGCTATGAAGAGTTCCATCAGTTGTTTTGAATGGGGAAAACAGTGCATTTGTTTGTAAATTACGTCGCCATGGTAACTGGAAACGCCAGTAAAAGTAACGGCACACATCACGGTGCCGAGCCGGTACACGTTGTGGTTCGAGCTGCATTAACGTTGACAGAAGACTAAGATATAAAGTTAAGAACCGGTTGTGAGGTGGATAATAATAGGGGGCGGGGCCTTTCAAGACGGTCCTCAACAATGTTTTTGACGGAATAGAAGAGATCTTGATATAAAGTCAGCTGAGCTAAACATTTTGATGTACGGATAGCACAACGCATTATTGTGTTTATCAGTTCAAGAAAACAGAAGCTGCTAAAGTTGTCCCCTCATCTTTCCCAGGGACGCCCACCTTATCCCGGACCATACCATCCGGGCTTTGGGTCACATCGCTGTGGCACTACGGGACACCCCCAGAGTGATGGAGCCCATCCTGCAGATTCTGCAGCAGAAGTTCTGCCAGCCCCCGTCTCAGCTGGACGTCCTCATCGTGGACCAGCTGGGCTGCATGGTCATCACTGGAAACGTGAGTCCCCGCCTCAGTACTGACACGTGTTGATGGATTGGAACCAGAGCTTCCACATCGTGTCACCAGTAACCTTTGATCGTGTGCCGATACGATTTCTAACCAAGAGGAAACTAAGCTTTATAAAAAATGTTTGGTGTTTTTATCCAAGGTAAGGGAGCAGCTGAAAGAAAAACAACAGCAGCAACATTTAGACTTGTTGTTAATGTCGACGTCCTAACGTCAGCGTTGTGTGTCGATGTGGCGCGACACATTTATGACTAACAATATTTAATATTTTTGTAGAAGGACATCCTTTCCTTAAAAATTGCAAATGGAAAAACTAATATGTTCTTTTGGCTTAATTCATTCATTTATTTTTGTGATTTATTTTAGCAATACATCTACCAGGAAGTGTGGAATTTGTTCCAGCAGATTAGCGTCAAGGCAAGTTCGCTGGTTTATTCAACCAAAGATTATAAAGACCACGGTTACCGGTGAGGACACCTCAAATACACTCACACTTCAAATATTCACCATGTGCCTGCCTGAAGGTTGTGTTCATAAAGCCCCCGTGGATTTAGCTCCTAGTTCGCTCAACCAGTTACTGATCAGAGAAGTGGATCTTTTTTAACGACCGCTAACAGGAAGTGATGTATCACTCTGGTCGTCGTGTCTATCTGTTGAAATATCGTAAAGAATTAATTAAAAACCAGTGCAGATGTGATTTGTTGTTGGTTTTTCTTGTTGTTTGTGCAGACACTGCTCTCTGGCTGTGATCAATGCTCTGGGAAACATCGCCGCCAACCTCCAGGCGGAGCAGATGGTGGACGAGCTTCTGGTCAACCTGCTGGAGCTTTTCGTTCAGCTCGGCTTGGAAGGGAAGAGAGCCAGCGAACGGGCCTCGGAGAAAGGCCCAGCCCTGAAGGTCTCACTCACTTTCTTCATCGTGTGGAAGGGTTGAAGGAAAACGTTTCTTTAGAAGATTTCTGATCCTGTCTGGTGGTTTTGTTCAGTCGTTGGTGCCTCATGAGCCGTGGCACAGGCAACTAGACGTCATTCAGAAGTGCAGAGGGTTAATATAACTTCTATAATTGATTGTTGGATGTACAGTCGTCCCTCACTCTGTTGTAGCTTCACTGTATCGCCTTTTAAAAAAATATAACTAATTCTGTATCGTGGGATTTTGCATTACGTACTGTATGCCACTACCACTTGCACAAATGGAGGAGGAAGCCACTTCTCCTCTTCCCTGTGTGTGCATACTCTTGTGCTATGTCACATGCACGACCGCATCACGCCGCTCTCTGAGTCTGTGCAGATCAGAGATCAGTCTGAAGGACTTCCTCTGCTCAGCGCCCGTCATGTGAGGCTGTTTCACAGGTGTATGATTCCTCTGGCTCTCAGCCTCCAGAGGGGCTCGGAGCTCGCTCCACCAGAGGAATCTCATCCTCCACGGCTCTGCACGGTCAGTGCAGGACATCTGCACAGCAGCGTCCTGGGATTCTCCGTGCTCATTCACCCGTTTTTATCTGCAGGATGTCTCCAGCCTCTCCCTGACTCACTCTGTCCTCAGAGTTTGTCAGAGTGATGATGCAGATGTTTCCATGAGCTCTCCATCCTGCCTGTCCTCACAGCAGCAGGGTTTATTTCATCCTTCAGTCTGACGCAGAGATGATTTCTCTCTCTGCTGCATCTGAGGTGCACAGTAAATCACAGTTTATCACAGTATTTCACAATATCTTGCAAAAAGATATGAAGCTCTCAACCTTGACCTCTCTAAGTGGCTTCAAACATCTGTTAAGTTCCTGGGCAAAACCAATGCAGACATGTTCCTGTTTTTAGTTTCTACATCACCTTACAATCTAGCTTTTTTTGGTTACATTTTTAAATACTGTTTTATTTTCACTTGTTATTCTCAATTTGTACGCATCCTTTATGATTGTCTATTTTTGTCTTTGTTGTCCACTGTTGTCATCACTCTTTGCTTACATCAGGTCTCTCTTGTAAATGAGTCCCCGAGGCTCAGTGGGATTAATGTGTAGAAATAAAGGTTGAATGAATGTGTGAACAGATTCAGTGGTGTGTAATTGCGCATGAGTCGAAGGCTCAATTTGGATTGTTTCAAAGACTGTGAGCGGTTATCTGTGATTGTGGTTCTGAATGGACCCAGTGAGGTAAAGACTACAGCCGGCTTTTCCTTTAACCACTAGCGATAGCCTTAAAGGGCGGAGCCTTATGAACTAGAACGTTGGTTACATACTGTAACCCCAGATTCTGTGAGTATAGGCACAACCCTTTAAGGGCTGTTCAGTGATTTGTAGACATACAGGAGTATTTTGAACTGGATTCGAAGGTGAACCGGTAACCAGTGCAGTGAGGCCAAAACTGGTGTAATGTGCTCTCTTTTGCCTGTACTGGTTTAAAATGGGGCTGCTGCATTCTGGACCAGTTGTAGTCGTGCAATGGAGGTCTGACTGATACCAAACAGGAGTGAATTGCAGTAATCAAGCCTAGATGTAATGAATGCATGTATTACTGTCTCCAGGTTCTTTTTGGACAATATGGGCTTCAGTTTAGACAGCCGCCTCAGGTGGAAGAAGCAGGATTTAACAATCATGTTTACATGATCGTTAAGCTTCAGGGAAGGGTCCATTATCACTCCCAGATTAGTGACTCTTTGTTTTTCTGACAGGGTTAGAGCGGAGAGGTCGATGCAGTGGTTTGTGATCGTGTCGTTGGGAGGGAACAACATGACTTCAGACTTCTTTTCATTGAAACTTAAGAAGTTTAAAGCCATCCAGTCCCTGATGTCAGCCAGGCAGTTGAGCAGCGGTTGAATAGAGCATGTACCATTGTGTCTTAGGGGGAAGTAAATTTGACAGTCGTCAGCGTAGAAGTGGAAGGGCATGTTGTGTTTCCGGAAAATAGCACCAAGTGGCAGCAGGTATAAAGAGAATAGGAGGGGACCCAGGATGGACCCCTGCGGAACCCCCCATTTAAGGTCTGCCTCTGCGGAACTAAAATCCTTGATGGAGACACAAAAGGATCTGTCAGTGAGGTAAGATCTGAACCAATTGAGGGGTGATCCTGTGACGCCCACCCACTGCTTCAACCTAGCAATGAGGATCTCATGGTCGATGGTGTCAAAGGCGGCTGTGAGGTCCAACAGGACAAGCAGCACAGAATCACCCGTTTCTGTGGATCTGAAGATGTCGTTAAAGACCTTCAGCAGGGCAGTTTCAGTGCTGTGGAGAGGTTTAAAGCCAGATTGGAAAAGCTCTAAGATGGTGTGATCCTCCAGGAAGCACTTCAACTGGGACTCGACTATTTTCTCCAGTAGTTTAGAAACAAATGGGAGTTTTTGAAGTATTTGAAAAGAGACCTGCAGCCTGTCTTTCCTCCATTCGCGCTCCGCCCTCCTACATTGCTGCCTAACGGCCTTGGTGACGTCACTCAGCCAAGGTTCTGCTCTGAGTTTTGATTTTTTGGTTTTAACAGGCAAAACATGATCCCGAGTCTTTAAGCAGACAGAGTTGAACTGGGATGTCAGCTCCTCAGTGGTGGTGAGAAACACTGGGGGCTGAATTATCATTTCAGAGTTATAAACATCTGTGAAACGTGCGGCAGTGAAGTGGTTAATGGTCCGAGTGCTATGTGCAGGAATGCACGACTTAGGAGTTAGATGGGGGAGGGTGAACTCAAACTGGACCGGCATGTGGTCTGAAAAAACATTATCACCAATAACAAGATTATTAACAGTCGCATCATGAGTTAAAACAAGGTCCAGTGTGTGTCCACGCTCTTGGGTGGGACCGTTTACATGCTGTGTTAAATTAAATGAGTCCAATAAATCCAAAAAGTTCTTAACCAAGGGCTTCTCAGGACAGCACGCGTGCAAATTAAAGTCCCCAATAATGAAAACGTGCTCATATTTTGGTGTGATTTCAGCCAAGAAGTCAGAAAACTCATTTATGAAATCCTTAGATCGAGGTGGGCGGTAGACGAGTGCAAATAACGTCGAAGACGAGTGGCCGAGTTCAAAGACGCTCAGCTCAAAGCTGGCACGGGAAACTGATTTTAAGATGGATGCCAAAGCTAATCAGCACTGGCCAACATAAAAATGGCTACAACTCAGTAAATCTTCCAGATGTTGAGCTGTAGTTACAGGTAGTGGTAGCTGAGAGTCATCCCCAGTACACACTCTGAGCGTGACATCGTTAGGTTTGACCAGAACAGCTTCGAGTCAACGTCAAAACCTCTGAAGGTGATATGCTGTCGTAACAAAGTTCAGACTTCAGAGGTGGTCCCTCATCCGTCGCAGGGGTACGTTCCAGCGACCGCCGCGATGGATGAAACTCCACGAAGTAACTGCGTATTTATTTTATTATTTCTATATTTATGCTTAATAAACCCTTCCACACTCCTACAAACCTTCTCGACTCTTGCAAACACTTCATGTGCTCTTAAACACTTTGGTCATGAAGACGATGACTGTACAGTACACAGAATAAATAAAAACAGGTTTAAAAACCTTGGTACAGCGAGGGACGACTGTACTGCAGTAATAACACCCTCTGGCAGCAGAGCTGGTCTCACAGTGGTAGATGGGAACATAAACTGATGGAAAATGAACATTTGTTGCCTCGTTTTGATCGTTAAACATTGTGTTGTTGTTGTTTATTGACTCAGTTGTTTGTGTAACGTGAGCTGTCTGAAGCGGCTCCTTATCGATCAAACTGAGTGGTTTTGTTGTTCTCCAGGCGTCCAGCAGTGCCGGGAACCTCGGGGTTCTGATCCCAGTTATTGCAGTGGTGAGTGACGGGATCACGCCCATCCCTTGGTTCAGTCCCACCTTGTCTTATTTTTGTGTTCAGAACCTGCGCTGAGGAAGTCCAGCTCTGTTGTGTTAATAACCAGAAAGGTTGCTGTTTTGCCTCCAGCTGACCAAGAGGTTGCTGCCCATCAAGGAAGCAAAGCCCCGTCTGCAGAAGCTCTTCAGAGACTTCTGGCTCTACTCCGTGGTGATGGGATTTGCAGTGGAGGGCTCAGGTTGGAAACGTTTGCTCCGTTATATCATTTTACTTTTGTTATTCACCCAGGCCTTCAAAGAGCTTTCATTTCAGCAGACTGAGAAGAAACTGAAGTAATAAAATAATAAAGATAATTTATTTTGGCAGTTCCTGTTCAGAAGAAGGTGTTTTACTCCCAAATGATTTACAGATTCCTGGTGTAGATTTACCATATATAACTATACGTATAGTATATTTCATATACCATACCATATAGTATATACCATTTTATATATATATATATATATATATTAGTATAGCATATGGTACATAATACGTATAGTATATGGTTTATATGTGGTATATACTACCATATATACACCACATACTATATAGTATGTGATACAAATATTTATATTAATTTATAATTTTAATAATTTATATAATAATAATAATAATTTTAATTTATAATTTTAATTTATATTTAATTTATACAAATAAAGTCCAGTTGTTTTTTTATTGAACGTTTTTTGAATTCATCATGTCCTGGATGACTGAGAATCTTCACCAGCATATGAGGTGTATATATACTATATGGTATATACTATACCATATAGTATATATACACCATATACTATATAGTATAAGGTGTATATATACTATATGGTGTAGTATATTTCATATAGTATATATACACCATATACTATATAGTATGTGGTGTATATATACTATATGGTGTAGTATATTCCATATAGTATATATACACCTTATACTATATAGTATGTGGTGTATATATACTATATGGTGTAGTATATTCCATATAGTATACCATATAGGTATAGTTGTAAAACGTGTTCTCAGAACAAACCCTGCTGGTTTTATTCTTGATCTAGTTCATGGCTGGAGGGCCTTCTGAAAGTCCTCTGAATTCACAAACCCAACAGATGTGACAAGTATAAACAGAATAAAAAACAGTTTTCAGATTATTTATTTACAGCTATGATAATGAATGTTACAGTAATGAATGTCCTCTGTGTCCCGAGTTTATCTTGAGCCTTGAATGTGGCGTCTGCTGTTGAAACCCTCAGGTCTGTGGCCCGAGGAGTGGTACGAAGGAGTCTGTGAGATCGCCACCAAGTCACCGCTGCTCACCTTTCCCAGTGGAGAACCTCTGCGCTCGGAGCTGCAGTACAACTCTGCACTGAAGAACGACACTGTCACTGCTGTATGAGCGCGCGCGCACACACACACACACACACACACACACTGCGCAGCTCACCTTCAGACTCCTGCTGCTGTGTTTCAGGCGGAGCTGAACGATCTGCGCAGCACCATCATCAACCTGCTGGATCCTCCTCCTGAGGTCGCCGCTCTCATCAACAAACTGGACTTTGCCATGTCCACGTACCTGCTGTCCGTGTACAGACTCGAGTACATAAGGTGCGTGGACTCCACGGTACCTCCACCCTTCTGGAGCTGCGGGTTTGTCTCACGCTGTCTTGTTGTCTCACATCTGTAGGATGCTGCATTCTCAGGACTCGGACAGCTTTCAGGTCATGTTTCGATACTTCGAAGACAGAGCGATCCAGAAAGACAAATCCGGTGAGCTGAGACGAGCCGAAGAAGCTTTTCTAACACACACTTCCTGTTACTCAACGTGTGTGTGTGTGCAGGGATGATGCAGTGCGCGGTTGCTGTGAGCGACAAGGCTTTTGAGGTCTTCCTTCAAATGATGGCAGAAAAGGTGAGATGTGTTTTCCTTGAAAATCTAAAGGTCTAGCATTCCTCGAGGGAATGCATATCACCCGCCATCTTTACTCTGTTAACTCCAAAAGGTGATAAACTGTAGAGCTACATCTACGGACTTCTTTGTGAAAGTTTCATTAAAGTCAGTTTATTTTAAACAAACTCACACTGAGTAAAAATCAAACTGTCCCTCTCAACTTTGGTGATAAAAAGAGCTTCTCTGTAGGAAAACACTGTCCTGTATATCCTAAATAAATAAAATAAAATAATAGTTTACTTCTCAAAGAGGAAAGTTAGCTGTTTGTATTTGTATCGATAAAAATGTAGTTTCAAGTTCACAAAGTTTGTTTTCTCAGTCATCCAGGTATATAACAACAAAAAAG